AGGAATTCATGAAGAGAATTTTTGAAGGCCAAAATTGTGTATATAATGACAAGTCATCTTCTATTTGTTATCTTTTCGCTAGAAAATTTGCTCCGAGTGCCTTGGAAAAGTTGTTGTTTTTAGCACCAAAGTATTTGGGATATTAAACTGGAGGAACCCATTCTCGGTTTCGAATAGATCCTGGGGATATAGATTTCTTGAAACTGAGGCCATTTCATTGTTAACACCAGATTTTTATTTGGTGGAGCTCCAATACAGAATGATTGAACATAGGAAGAAACATGCCTTGGCGCTTAAAAACACATTATAGTTAGTAGTTAAATCTGATTTGTTGATTATTATGTCTTACTTGGATGTTCCTAATTGATTCGAAAGACGTTCAAATTGTTACTAATATGTTGGGTTTGAATCTCTCAAGAGCACTTGACCGGAAACCATTTTGTTTTTAATCATTTAGCTTTCATGTAATTAAAAAAAAAAAAAAAAATTATGTGTTATACTCACATAGTTAAAATTATATAACAACTTCAAATCTTAAAACATATTAAATCACACACAATTGATTTGTTGAATTATTTGCCTCGAGATAAATTGATTTTGATCTTTGTAACTCTTCTTACATTTGAGTATCCCTGTTTGGTGATGAGTAAAATCAGTTTTTTAGTAAATTTTTATAAAAGTTAATAAAAAATGTGGTTAAAAGGTTGTGAGCACCACAAAACATATGATTAAAATTAATTGTTGATTTTGACTCAATTTTAATCCTTACTAAACATGGGCTTAATATATTTCGAGATGCTTGTCAAGTACGACATGACTTGTTAAGTGGGACGAGCAATTTGCCGGGTGAGCTAGCTCGTTCACGGGTTCATGAGCTTGGTCACCAACACCAAGGAACGAGCTCATTGAATGAGTCGAACTCGACATAGACAAGTCGATAGAATCAACTTGTTCTATACGTTCAATTCACTCCATTTAACACCCCTAATTGAACAAAAAGGCTCCTATCAAAGTGGGACACGCGTGGATCAGTAGGCAATGGAAGGTTCTCGAAACTCAAATTTTCCATCACAAATTGACTCCCATTTTTTGCCCAATTTTGGGTGTATGGTGATGATTAGTCAACTGCAGGAACATGGATCCAACGAATCGCACTATTCTAATTCCACATTATTGCTCGCACTGTTCTAATTCCACATTATTTTATTTTATTTTTTGATATCCAGGTATTCCAACTTACACCAGACTATGTCCTGGACCACCCATCCTCCGTCTCTCAGTGATGGGTGGAGGTTA